ACACCATAACAAGGCCGTCGCACTCACATCGGAAATTGCCCGCCTCCGGCCGCCAACCGCCTGTCGTCCACCGCCGCCGCCCTCTTCACACACACACAAACTCGTTAGACACACAGTAAAACGCACAAAAAATCACATCCGGACATCACGTTTTTGCCGTCGCTCCGACTCTCGCCGACACGAGCCTGACCGTCGTCTACCGCTGAAATCCGCCAGTTGTCGCCTCGCTGTCGGAAGTGTTGAGCTCCGAATCGCCTCCGTCAAACACGCCGTCTCCAATGTCTCCTCCACCGCGAAGTTCTGTCCAACACCGGTCGCCGCCAGATATAGCCACATAAGGATAACCCGGTCTAGAAGCTTCTTACTCGACCGGCGAGCCACTCGAACGACTCGTACGTCGACATGATTCCGCCGACATGACCAATCGACTTCCCTAGAGTCGATTCTACCAAGAGCAATCCAGGAGAGGCAGAAATCGGTCTAGTCGACTTCACTCTATCGACTTTTACTAACCGACATCAATGAAAGAAGAACATCAAGAGGATAACTCCCAAGCATTCAGACAATCTAGGTCGACTTCCACTAGTCGATTTAGATGATGACGACTCTCTGAAGACGACTTCACTACATTGTTAAACCTAGCATAGCCTCCGAAACCGCATATACTCATAAGTCGACCTCTTAGTTCTCGAGGTCGACTCTGTACATCTCGAGGATCAAAGTGGTGAAGCCGATTCACCACACTTGTAACATATCCAAAGCTCTATACATTACCAAGGATAAGAAGGAATCTTGCAATGACTCAGCAACAAAGGGGAGACGAATCGACAGGGGCATTTTAGACCTTCTAGGTCCACCGACTTGGGCATTTTGGGCACTTCACGTAAGTATTCACTCCTATATAAAGGAGATGAGGTAACCCTAAACCTTAACTCTCATTCATTCCCACTCTCCCCCATAGCTGCTGCGCAGCCTCTCTTCATCACTCTCATACTGACTTGAGCATCGGAGGCTCTACGCCGGAAACCCCTCCGGCGTTGAGTTTTTGCAGGAATCTCGCGGTCTAGTGACGGTTGGGAAGCGGTTCAAGCAGATCTGAGCTCACAACCACCGGTTTACTCCAGATCTAGAAGTAGACCCATCATTTGGCGCCGTCTGTGGGGAGTTCTTAAAGGAAGGAAGAGCTTCACACCCAGCTCCGATCTGTTTGCTAATGGCGGAGAAGGAGAGCTTGCAGAGGAACCTGAGCGAGGAGTTCAGAGGGACATGGATGGACAAGAGGCCACCACCACTTCCCACCACCAAACACCCCGCAGTTCTGATGACGGGAATGCCGCCGTTCGGAGGACCACCACCACCAGGGCTGATGTTGGGCGGAGAAACGCCTGTCACGCCAACCGGCGTGAAGTTACAAGTGTTGACCCAGGTAGGGACAAGTCAAAACCCTAATCCAGGAGGGGAAAAGGAACCAACGGAGATGCCTCGGCGTGAAGGAAAGCAGATACAGGAGGTACCGGACCAAATCCAACCCCATGTCGAGGGGCAAACCCTGACGATGACGAGAAGCGAGATGCAGAAGATGATCGCTGAAGCTGTAGCGGCCCAGATGAAGCAAATGGCGCAAGTCGAGCAGCAGCCTCGAGTCGAGAACCAACCCCGAGTCGAGCAGCAGCCCCGTGTTGAATATCAGCCTCGAATAGAGCAACAAGCCCAGTCGAACGTGCAACAGAATAGGAGGGTGGACGAAGAAGAGTCCTCTATTCGAACTGTCAATCCACAAGCGAGGGATAAAACGTTAGAACAATTATTAGCCCAAGTTCGCGATTTACAGGCTCGAGTCGATGGAAAGAAGAGCAGGGGAACAAAAGAGCACCCATTCTCGTTGCAGATCTTGAAAGCCGACTTACCCAAAGGCTTCAGAGAATTGAACATATGGTACGACGGCTCCACTGACCCGTCTCGACATTTGAGGAGTTTCGAAAATATGGCCGTGCTTCATCGTTACAGCGACCCAGTACAATGTCGCGCTTTTCCTGACCACTCTGACAGGGTCGGCCCAAGACTGGTTCCATCCGCTTCCAGCAGGGTCGATTCGGGATTTTGATGGGTTCAGCTCGAGTTTTCTTAACCAATTCGCAAGTGTGAGGGTGCAAGAGAAATCTTATCTCTCGTTAATTAGCATGCAGCAGAAGAAAGGCGAGTCGTTACGGGAATATGTGGCGAGATTCACAAAGGCGTGCGTCGAATGCCCAACGGCGACAGAGGAAATCAAATCAGGGGGATTGACGAGAGGGCTGCTACCAGGATTGTGTAAGAACTCCTTGGCCAAACGACATGGTAAAAGTTTCGACGATGTGCTGGGCAGATGTGCCAAATACATGAATGTCGAGGAGGCCGAAGCCGACTACTTGCAAAGCATGAAGATGTCTCAAGCCGACAGTCGAGACGACAAAAAGGAAAAGAGGTCGACAGGAGATAGGAGGGGATCCCCGAGAGCTGATAGGGGTGAAGGCAGGTCTAGAGGATGGAGACCAACTCAATACACACCTTTGTCGGCTCCCCATGCGAGAATTCTGGAGGTTATGGAGAGGGAAATCCGCGACGATGTGGTAAGATGGCCGCGGACGAGGAAAGATGGACCTTTGAAACCCAAAAGCAACCTATACTGTCGATTCCACAAAGACTATGGGCACAACACTGACGACTGTCGACACTTGAAAGACGAAATCGAGAGGTTGATAAAGGCGGGCCATTTGAAGGAGTTTATATACAAGGACCGCGAAAGGACGAGCAGGAGACGAGAGCGAAGCAAGAGTCCTCGCAAGAGGGTGAGATCGCCGGAAAAGGAGGAACTTCCACCAAAAAGGGGAGTCATTAACATGATTTTCGGAGGATCGACTGATGGAGACTCCAATCGGGCAAGAAAGGCCTATGCTCGAGGCCGATATGCGAAAGTCGAGGTGCAGCAGGTCGAGGAAAGTGGACCGGTAATGAACTTCGGACCGGCAGATGTGGGTGAAGTCGAGAGGCCGCATAACGACGCCTTGATGATAACGGCGCAGATATCAGGATACGAAGTGCAAAGGGTGTTTGTCGATACAGGGAGTTCAGTGTACGTAATTTTCTATGAATGCCTCAGAAGGATGGAGCTGGACATTGAACTTACGCCCCTACATACATCACTCTTCGAATTCAACGGCTCAGAAGTCGCTCCCCTAGGAGAAACCATGCTCGCTGTCGTCCTAGGGGAAGGTGACTTGAGGAAAGTCAAAATGGTAAGATTTGTCGTGGTTGATGTCGAGTCGGCTTATAACGTGATTCTTGGGAGACCAGCGCTCAACGCATTTCAAGCAGTTGTGTCGACCTATCACATGAAGTTGAAGTTTCCCGTAGGAGATCGAGTGGGAGAAGCTCGAGGAGATCAAAAGTTGTCAAGAACATGCTACCAAATCGCAGTCAAAACCAATCAACGAGCCGAGGCCAAGGAGGGTAAGAGACCAATGACGAGCGAGAAAAGGCCGAGAGGGAGTGACCTTGAGCCCCATGGCGAACTGATGGAGATTCAAATAGGAGAATCAAAGGACCTAACCACCAAAGTCGGGAGAGAGTTGGAGGACGAGTTACGAGAACAGTTGGTGGGATTGTTGAAGGAATTCAGGGATATATTCGCCTTCTCGCCTGAAGAGCTAACTGGAATCGACCCAGAGGTGATGGAACACAAACTCAATGTCGACCCCCTCAGAAAACCTGTGAAGCAGCCACTCAGGCACCACGGCGCTGAAATCGACAAAGCAATCGAAGTCGAGGTGGATAAGTTACTGAAGGCCAAACATATCAAGGAGATCCAATTCCCCGAATGGATATCTAACACAGTTATGGTGAGGAAGGCATTGAACAAATGGCGTATGTGTATCGACTTTCGGGACTTGAACCTAGCATGCCCTAAAGATCATTATCCTTTACCCAGAATTGACCAGCTAGTCGACTCAACAGCTGGCTGCGAGTTGTTAAGCATGATGGACGCATCGCAGGGATACCACCAAATCCCTTTGGCGCCAGAGGATCAGAGTAAAGTAAGTTTTGTAACGAGCAAAGGGACATATTGCTATGTCGTCATGCCTTTTGGCCTCAAAAATGCAGGAGCAACTTACCAGCGATTGATGGATCGAATGTTCAAACCCCAAATCGGCCGGAATATGGAAGTATATGTGGACGATATCCTGGTAAAGAGCAAGTCTTCGACTTCACACCCGGACGACTTAAGGGAAACCTTCAACACCCTTAGGGCATTCGGGATGAAGTTGAACCCGAGCAAGTGTGCCTTTGGAGTAAGGGCAGGACGATTTTTGGGATATGTCGTCACGGAACGAGGAATCGAGGTAAACAAAGATAAGGTACAGGCCATACTCGACATGGCCCCACCGCGAAACATTAAAGAAGTCCAGGTGCTAACGGGAAGGATTGCAGGCTTAAGCAGATTCATCGCTCGAGCTGCCGAGAAGAGTTTCCTTTTTTTCAAACTGCTTAAGAAGAAGATGGTGTTCAAGTGGAGTGACGAGGCGCAGATGGCCTTTGAGAAGTTGAAAGAGTTCCTGAGCGGTCTGCCCTTGTTGACCAAACCAGAACCAGGCGACGAGTTGATTCTATACATCTCAGTAGGAGAGTTTGCTTTAAGTTCGGTGCTGCTGCGGGAAGACGGAAGTTCCCAACAACCAATCTATTACACAAGTCGAGTACTTCAAGGCGCAGAGACGAGATACCCAGAAGTCGAAAAAGCCGCTCTAACACTTGTCATAACAGCCAGAAAGCTGAGACCTTATTTCCTGAATCATACAATTGTGGTGAGAACGAACTTCCAGCTGGGAGAAACATCGGGTCGACCTACGACAGTCTCAGGTCGACTTGTAAAATGGGCAGTTGAGCTAAGCGAGTATTCTATCAAGTACGAGCCGAGGCGCGCGATTAAGGCCCAGGCTCTGGCCGATTTCATTCAAGAAGGAACCAAAGGAGAAGAGAGGAAATGGATAATGCATGTCGACGGATCCTCTGCGGCCAAAGGATCCGGTCTGGGAGTCGTCCTAGT